TCCCCCTCCCTTCCGCCCTTCCCTTCCCCTCCCCCCCTCACCCTACTCCAAAAAGAACCAAATGTCTATGAACAAATGAATGAACAATAAGAACAATAAAAGGGAAAAACAAAAACATCTATGATTCCATGCTTATCTATTAAATTTAAGTTCGTTTCTCCTCAATTTCAGAGAATCACTTCGTTTTTCACCTACCCCTGAAGCTCATCAGTGAATTCTTATCAGACTCGTCACTGCGAATCCTTCTGTTGCTCGGGTATGACAGGGAACGGATCTATTCCTTTCTCGGATGCGCTTATGCATTCGACTTCCAATCTAAATCGGGTACGGAAGGCTTGGTAGGCTTCCGCGGGTATCGATCCGCAATTTGATCTCTGACCGGGAACGATATGACGACGCTTCCGCACTCCCCTTTATTTCCTCAATTCTAAATCCTAGGAAAAGCATTTTGCTGGTTTCCCACTAACATCGGAAAAGCATTTTGCTGGTTTCCCACTAACATCGGAGTATAATATGAATGAAATCGGATTTGCACTTCTTAATTAACACTCCTGGACACTTAATTTAAAAAAAGGCAACGGAAACACCTGGAATCGGCCCTTTTTAATGACTTACATACTACAGACAATTGCAATACCCTAATGAGAAGTACTTTTCGTAAAGTTTAATGAAGATTTTTTATAGGTTTCTGAAGTGGACTAGGCCCATGCCAAAACTGGAGTAGGCCCACAAGCACTGCCCTCTACAATTTCGAGGCACCCTCCTTGAATTGTTGGTGTTGGTGTGAAATAGTGCATCGGTAGTGAAGAAAACCAGAAAATTTGCAAAATTCGCGGCACATAAGGTGTCGAAAAAGTAGTGAAGCTAGGGGGCGAACATTCAATAATGGAATTGGTCCAGGTATTCAGACGAGGTTTCAATCTTGTGAAATTGCATGAGGAACTGGCTACAGTGACCCAAGAGTTGTCTTTCACTACCGTTATGAGCTATGAGAATTTGTTCGAGTTTTCAGCATATGTGCTCCAATGTGGATGGTGCGACCTTCATAACGCCGCCAAAACACGTCCATCATTTGGTTAAGACGTCAAAGAAGCAAAGAGGCAAGCCTTCTCCAACTAATCCTTTTATAGGATGCTTTTTGATCCGAAACTGGCCCATACAACATACTTGGAGGTCACACATAAGTCCTATTTCATTTTTATCGTGAACTGTGCCATCAACTGGGGAAGTTAGGTTTCAATTTTCAAATTTTGAGTATTTTCGGCTTCATATTGATAACTAGTAACCACGTACCATATCATCCTGTGACAATGAATTAGGAGGTTCTGAATAGTTAGCCGAGCTGTCCAATGGTATGACTTCCATAATAGGTTGAAAAGTCGTAAACTTTTGTTCCCAACTAGTACATTCATGGCCTCCAATATGATAAAAAAAGAACAGTGTGATCAGAACACTAATAACCAGTAATATAAATTGTAGAGCTAGTGAAGCTACCCCAGTAGCTTTAGGCGATATGAAACATGTTGAAGTGAGAGCAGAGGTTGTCTGTCGTCCGTTCATTTGACGAAATATTCATACGTTCAAGCTATGGCTTTACTTCTGAGCGTACAGTTCTGAACGTTGTCTCAGCAAATTCCATGCGTTCTATTGGGAAACGCAAATAATCATAAATTTGGAAGAAAAATAGGTTTGAAGGATTAGTCTTTAGAAAGTTGTTCGAGGCGGATCAGTATCTAATACAATGAATAAATGGCATGTCCGCCGAGTCAACACACCCGGCACACCCCCGGCACACGATTGTTGCAGCATTTCTAACGCCGTTACCAAGGTTACCCTGTCATCATGGCAGTTATACGCTGTATTACTATTCATTTTCTTTTTCACGTCAATATGAATGAAATCAGATGGCAAATATGAAATCAATCATCCAAAACTACCATAATACTGATGTTTTCACACTAAAAAAACAATAAAACCTCAATATCAGCCATTCATTTCCAATCTCTTTGAGATTAATCTCATAAAAGGCTGTGTTGCTAACAAACTCCATCAAATCTAATAAGAGAACATTTTTCTCCTCCGATTGGATAGCTTTATATCACCTATGTTCCTGATTTTTGATTGCTATCAGGACAGTGCAGAAGATTCGATCCACGCGACAAGGCGCGCGGCGTTTTTTAGCTAGTTGTCTCAGCACCAGCGCTATAAACCACTTTTTCCATGTCCGCACTCTCTAGATGAGACAATGGCCTCTGGTGTTTGATGGATAGTAGACACTTTTCAGAATAATTTTGGATTGTTGTACGCTTCTGTCATTGCTTACTTAATTATTCCTCTTAATTACTCCTACTATTACTATCACGGCGGCATTTCTGCCGCCTCCATTTATTAGATTACTCCAAAGGAGGTTTTTATAAAACGCTTCTGAACTCTGACTGACTCAGTGACAGGCAGAGAACAAAACTCTTTGTTTGTCGCATTAACAAACAAACATAAATAGCCCGACATTCGCATAGATATTTTATCTGGGAATTCAAAATTGCACAAAAAAGTAACTTTTCAACGTCTTGTGCCATCTTCGAAAAAGATTCCCCCGTCTTCAGCACAGTATTTCGGACAAATGCCTTTTTCACCGCGTGTTCCAGGAACACCATTCCGTCCAGGCATTCCAGGATGACCATCCTCACCAGCCTGACCTTGTGGTCCCGGAAGTCCAGGCATCCCTGGTGTTCCCGGCTTCCCGTCCCTTCCAGCTGGTCCAGGTGGTCCACGAGGCCCGTCCGTTCCCGGCTTTCCCTGTTCTCCAGGAGGTCCAGGTTTTTCTGGTTCGTCGCTTGCCGGTTCTCCAGGGTTTCCTGTTGGTCCTGCATCGCCAGGCGGCCCTATGCTCCCAGGTCGTCCTCTGAATCCTGGCTCTCCGTGAGGTCCATCGGGACCTTTCGGCCCTTGCTGACCCGGCAACCCAGCATTCCCTTGAGGTCCTGGTGGCCCAAGAGGTCCAGGTGGTCCCTGCGGACAGGGTGGACATGGTGGAGGAGTGATCGGTTCGCATGGTCTCATCGGTGGACGGCCTGGTTTACCGGGGATCCCTGGCTTGCCAGGCATACCAGGTTTTCCTGGTTTTCCTGGTGGACCACGAGGACCTGGCGCTCCAGGAAGGCAACATTCCTCGCAGCCACTGCCTCCACCATCCATCATCATCTCCTCGAATTGATCTGCCTGAAAGAATGAGTTTAGGAGTAGTGGGTCCACACGACATAGCGCAGCCTGCCGAAAACGGGGATCAGTCTACCCGCCATTGGCGGATTGTCGATCCGTCCGTGGCTCTAGAGAGAGCTACTAGAAAAAACTCACATCGCTGACATTTTCCTCCATGTAAGCCTCTCTGGAGACTCTGGTAGTTCGATTAAACACTACCGGTACTTCCTTCATTGCGTTCACATCAGCCCATAGAGTTCGGGCGTTCTTCTGAAGGGGAAAGCGTTTGTCCGCAAGATCTGCAATTCCAGTAAGACCAAAAACCACCTGGCACAGCTGCATTTCACCTTCCATTTGACGGCGAACGTTGTGCACATAGTTATAGACGATCGGTAATGTTATACAAACTGATAATATTGTGAACGTTGAAAATGTCACTGCCGCATACCCCACAAAGCGGTATGCCTGAAACATATCGTTATATAAACACCCACCAACACCTCATCCCATTCTACGGGTGCAGTAGCAAAAGACTTGTAAAACAGGTATCAACCACGTCAAGTACGAAAAACTAGCACGGGTCCAAACTTTTACCGTAACCTCACCGTAACCAGTTGCCCGCAACCAAGACATTGATTTACGAAATTTTGCGGCAGGGCGATGGGGGACGGAAAATTCACGCAGGACTGGATGTACGCGGCAAACCGCGCGGCGAAATTCGTGGTGATTAAAACGNCGTTTTAATCACCACGAATTTCGCCGCGCGGTTTGCCGCGTCCACCCAGTCCTGGGTGAACGTTCCGCTCCCGCGCGCGGCAAGTTGCGCGGCGAAACTAATAGCGATTCTGAGGACTTTAGCGCCTAATGTTGGGACCCAAATTTGAAGTAGAATAGACTGGCAGGATGAGCTGACCATACTAGTCTACTCTACTTCAAGTTTGTGCCCCAATTATAGGCGCCAGGGTCGTTTAAATGGCCACGAACTTCGCCGCGTGCACCCAGAAGAGCACGAATCGCCCATCCCCGAGCAATAGCGCGACTATGGTAGGGATCCGACCTCGCTAGGACGTCAACTCTGGCTAACAATGCTAGCAGTGAACACAAGACAATGAGCCAAATGCCGGAATATCCCACAAACGAAGAACGCACCTTGATTTTCGTGTCAGGATCCATTGTCGCCTTAAGGTGCTGCGTTGGTAGGGTAAGCACGACGAAGCCGATTGGATTGCTTTTATATGCTTGATTGACAATAATGAACTGAATCGTTTTCACCGTCTGTGCGACTTTAAATTCTTCGTCTACTTCTTATGCTCCCGCTCCAAGGTACGGATACGTGTGACGAAACTGGATCACCGACGACCGCAATCTCAGCCTTGACAGGCCATCCTAGCTGGCCACACCATTTAGCTCTCAGTTCAGCTTTCTTGCAGCATTTAGCACGGGCTTATTAAACAGGACTGCATGCATAACGCTGCTCTCTGATCAGGGGCATTCCAGCGTTACCTGTAAGACCCTATGGGTCAGCTTGGAGCTTATGTTTCGTTCCAGTCGAACTTCCACAGTACAGCACATAAACCTATTCATCTGCGCCGCTGATTTCTGACGTTTAGATGAACGAATGGAATTGCCGCAAAGTGAACAGCTATAGATCACCTCTGCAGTCAACAAAGTGCCTGAAAAAGCAGAAATCCGCCTCCAATCAATCAATGAGCATCTCTTCTTTGGCAAAAGATATATTGCCATAGAAATTGCTTCAACGCTGCAAGATACACTCTAATTTTTATTATTACTTCCATACACAATCTCTGTACTTTGTATAGGTCCCAGTGTACTCTCTAATACTCTCTCAACGTCAACTTATAAAACCAACATGGTAATGGCTAGATATTCTAGTGCAGAACGATGACGAGGATAAACACAGCGGTGAGAACGAACTGAGTAAGTGAAACGATGACAACAACATCGCTAATGACGTTAATTAGAGAACATGATAAAGATGAGGATAGAGTTTAGACAGTTTGGGTATCGAGACACGATTAAAACTCTTCGCTAAGGAGCGGCGGTGAAACACGAATCGGATCTTGCCGACTCAGGATCTCTTCTATCGACACGTCTAGACGCTGCGCCCATCGACAGCACACGTCGTAAATCAACACCAAGCAGTACGCATCCATTGCAGCATACCGTAACTAAAACCATTTCTGACAGATTGGTACGATGAATGTTTACAAGTTGTACCAATAAATCGGTAATATAGACATTAGGGTTTTCTGCCCTTTTTCTAACAAAATCATTGCGGAGACAAGCATTTAAGATTCTATAGATGAAGTGAAAACTGGTAACTAGGAGAAACTAGTAAACCTTGAACCTCTGAAACAAATTCTGTTCTGCTCTAGCTCTATGGGCAAAGCTCAATAGATTACGGAAGGAGTACACATTTCTTTGAAGACAATATAGAACGCTATAAATGAAGATGAATTGCACTTATGAACGAACCTGGGATGATCTCAATGGCCGTCGATCCCATACAGAACATTGCTCAGTTTTATCAAGCGGTCGTCCCAGTACTCGCTCACACACATAAGAGAGACCCCGATTTACAGTTCGTTGTAGAACTGATTCACCTTGTGGGCTTTTCGGTTGTGACGTTATCGAATCCGCAATGTCTGAGATAGTGATTTTAGTACCATAAAAAAACTAACCACACAAAAAGCCGTTGATAATTCAAGATCGAAATCGAAATAAATGATGAGAAAAGATAGGAAGCGAAATTGTATATTGGACAGGGAATCACTCACTTTCCACCTCATCTTCCTCATTGGTCTCCGGATGCTCCTTTTCATCAGAATTCACAACTGGAGGTAACACTTCATTCAAAATCTCATCACAGTTTGTCAACTTTTCTGTTCGCTCCAAGAGCTAAAAACCAAAATCACTTCGAAATCTGAAAAGGATATGTTTTCGTAATACAACTTACATCTGCAAACAACTTCCCAACGCAAATAACGTTCTCCGGCTCGAACAACGCACGACAGTGAGGAACCGCGGCCCGCATTTGCACGAGATCTTCGTTGAACTGGAATCCTGCAATCCCATTTAAGAAATTAAAAATTAAATTTCACAAATACACGCAATTCTTCAACAAGCGCTAGCGACCCAGAGGTTAACAACAGTGAATTTCCACTGAGAATGATTGCACCACACAAAGCATTTTTGTGATGCAACACACCCAAATGAAACGTATTGCTTATACATATTACAATTCATTAAGAAGCCTAACGAAAACGGAAAAAAAAAGACCTTCAAGTGACACTCACCTAATTTTAAGATGGACCTGTCAAGAAATAACATCGTAAAGAAATCACGCAGTGCACTTGCAGGAAGTTCTGAGCGATTATCGAGATCGATGATGAATATGCGGTCACGAAGTGATAATTGTAAAATAGTTGCCCTAGAAGGGAATATTTAAAAAATTCTGGTTGCGCCGCTATCTTGTCTTACAAATCTTCACTATACTAGGGGTATTGTGCGAGGTCGTAAACATTCATATGCGAAACATTTAAGAAAAGAATTAGAAATAGCCAGAAATATACCTGCTATTGGCAACATAGGCGCTCCACTCTGCATCAAGACCCACAATTACATGCGAAAGAGGATCCTTGTTTTTTAACCGATTCAGTTCCTCACTTAGCACATGCAAATCAGCTGCAGTACGCACAAAAACAATGTTCTGGAATAAAATGACAGTACGATGTATCTTTGAAGGAATTTGACAGTAAACGCAAGATTGTACGTTACGTACTTTTACGTCATTATGAAAATTCAAGTAGTCTTCTGTTGGCAGTAAAGGGTCACGACATAATTCATTTCTGGAATAAATACAAATGGCAAGAAAGTGTGGGCTTCAGCGCATCTAACTGTTGAGCCGTTAAGGTAGTCCAATACATCACACTCTTTCTAATCTACCTGTTTTGTACAGTAGTCCTGTGCATCAGCGCCGGCTGCATCCGACGCCAATATCGTGCGGCACCATAGTCGTGAAAATCCTTCTCGAGTAAATCACAAATAAACCTACAAAAAAAAAACTAAATATACGGGCAGGCAAAAAGAGAAGACATAAAAATGGGCACTATGACGAACAAAAAGAGAAAACACCAACGAGAACAGAACGAACTTTTTTAAATTTGGACGTTGACACATAATCGTCCATATTAACTCATAAAGATTCTCTTCCTTCCAGGTCTTAAAAGGGAGTCCATAACGAGTTCAGGCACAAAAGAAAAAGATTATGCCATCATGAAAGTTCCCCCCCAAAGGAAAGAGCCCAAGAGGAACATACCTTATCAACGTAGGTTTTTTTCGCGAATTTTTTTAGAGCAGCACAAGCCCAGCCCATCGGGATAGTGGCATCGGCACGAGACTCTGTAACATAGGGGCATAATGAAGAGCCTTACGCTTTCCAAGAGCACGCTTAAAAGACAGAGATTGAAATTAGGACGAGCTTGAAGTTTCGTACGATGTAAACAAACCTCCTTTCAAGTCTCGCATTAGGATCAGGGTATTATGACGGAAATCCGAATAACTACATAACTCTGGATTGTCTTCACTAATATTAGGAGGTTTTCGTGCCCTGCAGTATCGTATTTTATGTAGACGAGATCAAGAAAGGATAATGAAGTAGAACTTACTGGAACTCTTCATACGATTTCATTGCAATTTCCGCTTCATTCAAGATAGCACGGCATTTTCGTCGGAATTCTTCACTTCTGCCGGACGCGAAGGCCTGCAACAGTTAACATGGAGCTATATGTTCCCAATTTTCGCAGGTTCTGCTGACAAGCTAGCCAACTGCTGAGTGCAAAGAAAATGCAACGCCACGTGGAAGAAGACTTGTTAGGAGGGGAGTCAATAAATCAATATTTTGATCTATCAATGATCTATTGCAGAATTTGCGCGGAAAAAGAGTGCCGAGCGGAACCAACGCGCCAATAGCTGCTTTCAGACTTCGACGACCGTCCTAACGTCCGTCCGTCCGTCCGTTCAACGCGTGCGCAGCAGCGGTCGCGTGTGTGTCGCGACGGCTAGACACGTGTTGACAACGTTAGATCACGTGCCAACGCCGTGCCGGGGGTGGAAGTCTGAAAGCGGCCAATAGAGTCAGTCGCCATTTCGTAACACCGTCCGGAAGCCCACCGCTCTTCCCGTAGGAGAAGAAACTCTGCAAGCAGATTCGCACTCACGAATCAAACCCCTGGATCACCCCCCCCCCCCCCCCCCCCCC